CAACACCGCTTCCCTATTTAACTACCCATCTATTGCATCCAACATTTGAACCCAAGAGATGGCTATACCAGTGTGGTCTCGTTGATGGATCAAGAGGTTGTGCAGGTCCGGACGTTGAAATAGTTTAATCGGCAGCGCTAGATGTGGCTCCGGAGGTAGCTCTCAGCGTCTTAAACCATTCGGACACTGAGGGTTGGTCTTACCAAACCCGCAACAGCATAACTCTCCTCATATGTTAAAAGGCTGTTTCTTATGAGCATTTGTCAGAGGTGTTTGGATAAATTTATCTTGGTTTTAAACATGCGCTCCCCGTTATTAGTCATTTAGATACTGAGGGCTGCAATCATTTCGCGGTTATTATTGCTTGTGAGCACGCTATTTTGATCCGGAATCCTAATGTCCGACTGGCCTTACTGCCAAATGGTGCCCCGACCCCTAAAAAAAACTAACAGTTCCTGGAGCTGAAGAACTTGGTGGTAGCATTTCGCCGTTTCATTTTTCCCTTTCGGCCGAATCTTTTCAGATGACACGAAATTCATCTGCGACAACTGTGATGACGCTTTCCTCTCGAAGGAAGAACTTGACAATCATCGTAGGAGATGCAAGGCAAATACTAGTAAGTTACTAAACTACTCATGCTTACGACTTTTTATGGTGTGTTCCGGGCGGGCTATCTAAAATGAGCTTTTGCTTGCAAGGTGCAGACCGTGGTTATGAGTGTTTTGGCCGTTTTCAGAGGTATTTTGTTTAGTTAGAATACAATCTGATTTCCGTTGGTTTTTTCATTAGCGAAAAACCATTGTCCGACCGCCGACTGAATGAAATATTTTTGCCCTAACTAGGCCGCTTACAATTAAAACTAGGTAGCAAGGGTTTTTAGGGGACTTCCCACCCTGCTAGGGCCTCCGTGGAACATTTTTCGCTGACGGCAGTCAGTAGGATCAGCAGGGTTTCCCGTTTACCTTTTTTCCCTCACTGGCTCCCCTTTTAACCAGCCTCCTCCTCCCCCTTAGCACCCGCGAGTCAGACGAAACAGGCACCACGGACTCCACCGGTGGAGTTGCCTCAGGCTGCGTCACTGATAGCCTACGCGACACGGTCTCAACGGCGTCAAGCACCACCGCCTAAAACACCCTCTACCCTTGGTGAGTAAACTTCCTCCTATTCGCCCTCCTTCCCTCCCTCCCCCATGGACACTTATATGTGGCTCATTGGCAGTGTTGGAATCAGTGACCAGAGATCCTGGGTTCGAATCCCAAGTGGTCCATGACGCTTAATAAGCCAGAAATGGCTCTACCTGTTTTCCTTGTACTTATCGGTACTTCATCATATGCATACACGTGGAATGCATCCTACAAAGCCAGAAATGGCCTTTACGTCTCCCCTCGCTTTGTCGGATCCAGTCAGTACTTTCCTACTAGTGGTTATACAGCTGTCTGCACGGGCTCCAAAGTGAGTTCCAAGCCAAGACCGGAAAGTACATTGTTCCACACCTAGATCGGCGATCCCCACATATTCATCATATTCCCGATCTCAACCGACAAAGCAACGAGCCCGTGGTGCAATGGTAGAGTAATAGACCCAATGACCAACGGTCTCGGGTTCGAATCTCGGGCAATCCACGCCTGGGATTGGATATGACGAGCTGATGACGGCCATAAATGGCCTTTGCTTTGACGGATCCATTCTATATATGTGGTAGTAGGACACTCGCTGGTCTCCTTACGATACTCGCAAGCCCCGCCAGCAGGCGCACAGCGGCTAGTATTATCGGCAGAAGAACATAACTACCAAAGACTAGGGAGACTGGAATGGCCATTTCTGGCTTATTAGCCAGCCATGCTAAACCCTCGGGTGTTGCAACACCTGAAGCCCGAGACCTGCGGCTTATAGGTCCGACATTATGGCTCTACCTGTTTTCCTTGTACTTATCGGTACTTCATCATATGCATACA